ACAGAAAAAAAAATGTGACAGGGAGCTTGAAAACAAAAGTTAGCAATAATAATAAAAACACCAAGATGGTAAAAAGATAACACACTTATCTTTTCTTAAAACACACCAGCCAACATAGAGTTTGAAAGTCGAATGAATGTTGGTATAAAAGAATTTGCATAGAGATTTGTTTTACAGTCCTGAAGGCAACAATGAGAATTCATTTTTGAGAACATGTTCTGATGAAGAGAGAATCACTTTAGCTTTTTTTTGCTCCGGTTCACTCCTATGATTTTAAAGACACGATGCAGACTGTTTTTGTTTTTTTTAAACACAGGAGGGTTAACAATGAAAGCCGCATAAAACCTACCCATGATAATTGGACTTTCTGAAAAAGACTTTTGTTTTCTCAAAAACTACATTCTTTTTTGAGCTTGTTTCAGAACAGCTGCAGTATTAATCTCAAACTTAAGCTGGTTGTCAAAAATTGTGCCAAGATACTTATAAGAGTAGACAAGCTCCACGCCTTCGCTATGAATAATGCTCTCGGTGGCCAAATCCTTTTTACGTCTTGAATCAAAATTTTGTCCTGCTGTTTTTTTGACATTTAGGTCATAAATTTGACATTTAACTCTAAAATTTCTGTCTCACCAAGAAATAAAATCAGAGAGTGCCGTTCTGATTCTGGAATGCTGAGAAGGGTTAACAATGCAGTGTAATCTGAAAAATTCACAAGATAACTGTGTTTAAGATTAATTTTATATTAATTTCGCTGCAAAATATAAAGAAGAGGAGATAAAACACAACACTGAGGTGAACCTGTTGATACAGAGACACAATCTGACAGGCAGTTATTAACAAAGACTCTGTTCCCTCATCGACAAGTTGAAATCCATAAGACTAGCCGGTGAGGCAGATTAAATTTGTTTAAAAGGCTCCGAAGCAAAAAGATGGTTGCATGGTATTGAATACAGATGAAAAATCGGCTAATAAAACTCCAGCATAAGCTTGAGGTCTTTCTAAGTCGTTAAAAAGGGAGTCTAAAATAAAAAGTTTATATTGTGTAATTGGCTGTTAAAATGACAGCTTACATGGGAAGAAAAATAAACAAAACACTTTCTCCAACTTTGGGGTAAATTTTGGAAAATTTTAAGTTGAAAACGATATTATTTAGGGTTTTTTGTTCTGCTTCTAAAGTCAGTTTCGAGTCATTATGACAGTTAAACAAAAGGGTTGAAAAACTGTTTAAAAACAAATTTTTTTCTTTACTCTGGTTCTTTTTTGTTATCAACAATTGACGATTCTAAGCATTTAAGTGTAAAAAAAAAAAAAAAACATAAAACAGATAAGAGTAATCAAAGCTGCTGATAACTACTTTGTCAGAACATTATATATCTGCTGTAACATGAATAAGTTGAATACGTTATCTATGGCATAACATTCCTTTAAGAAAAGCATAAAAATGACATATGAGGTAGAGTAGCTTACTGCTACAATTTACTTTTAAATAAAAGTAAATTGTTTTTTAAAGACGTACTGCATATATATGCAAAATCAAATATGCCATGAGAGATGGACTTCGGTATCTTTATACAATGTTTTGCCTTTCTCTCACCCGTTTAGTAGAGGAAATGTGTGCTGTGGCAAGACTTGTGATACTGAATGAGTCTCTGAATGTAATAATGAGAAATGCACCAGCTCTAAAGGCAGGTGCAAATGGAAACAATCCAACACCAAGGAGGAAGTAATGTTAGGTAAAAAAACAGTACATGCTCACATAGTGGGAAATGTTTAACAAGGAAGACAAGGCTGAGAACTTCTTAAATTGCTTTCAAGGATAGAAATTATTGCTCCACTCTTCCATTGCAGGTATATCCATACAACTGCAGACACACATCTTACTATAAACCTTTGCAATATTGCAATTTACATTTTAAATTTTCTACATGTACTTTAACAAGACTGCCAATTATGTTATTAGCAGATAACTAAGTACTATCTTGGTAATAAAGTAAAAGTTTCGGCACAGACTTTCTAAATGGCAGCCAATGGATTGCCCTAATGACATAATGTTTTTTTGTTTTGTTTTACTCAGTAGGAAGCATAAGATAGTAAGTTAAGCTACTTCTGAAATGTTGATCTTTTTATTCAGAATTTTATTTTGGTTATTTTCTTAACAAAAGCTCCTTGTCGAAATATTACTTTGAAAAAGCAATCCATACTTTTGTTACAACTCAAATGAATTGCTACAATTCATTTTAGCTTGGTGTTAAAGTAAAGCATCCTTATTTGGCCATACTGTATGGTGTGATTAAAACTTGCTGGATGGCTTTTAACCAAAAGCACTCAGATTAACTGACCAGCTGTTAGTGGATCTACTTAAAACTCAGCAGATTTAAGTGATTTACCAAAGTTTTAGTTTTGCAGATTTTAAAATATGAAATGCTTTGCTGCTGTAAAGCAGAAAAGCCTCCTCATTAGCCATAAACAAATATGGGCTTTAAACCAATTTCTTCTATTTGAATTTTGATCCAGTTTTGTATGATTTTCATATTACTCTGACTGGGTTGTATTTTCAGTTTTAATTATTGACCTTCCTTTTATTCCAATGTCCTGTTTTTTTTTTTATTTAAAAGTATAGCTATTTATTTTTTCATTATAACATTGAGATTTTCAAAATTATATATTTAGAAAATTTCCAGAGTAGTGCAGAATAAAAGTAGGATTGTCAAAAATAAAGAACACATAAATAATTATTTTAAAGAGCTATTAGATTAAATCTTACATCAGAGAACCTTTGGTTGGAATTAGCATTGAGGGACCTGGCAACCAGCTGGCAAAAAGTACTGAGCAAGAATGGGTGAGTGTGAGTGTGTCAATTAATGACCAGAAGGAGATCAAACTTTTAGCTCTCACCTTTAATTATTATTTTTGTTCAGCACTGCTCTGTAACTAATTTGCTTTCTTATCTGATTTGTAAGCCGATGAAATGAAAGCATTTTCTGTTAATAATAATAAGCGGTCATAATTCATAATACTTTAGAGGAGATTCTTCAGAAATTTGCAAATATTACTTAAAGTGCTAGAATTAGCTGGTTTTGTGTTTCTTATCTTAAAACGGTATCAAAAATATTAAACTAGCAATAAAATTTTACTGATATAATGTGGCTGAGCACATAGATGTTAAACTAGTTGTTTTGGTCTGAAAGTTGATATGAAAAAAAGTACACAATTGATTTGCATTAGTATGTACAGTAACTAGGTAAAGAAGGTGAGAATTGTGTTTTTTTTAAACAAATAGGTTAATAGCCTGTTAAATGTTATAGTGGTTCTGGCTGAAACATTTTTTCTGGTATTGACCTTAGTAATTGGTGAACTAACATTTTTATTTAATGACACAGTTGAAGCCTAATTTATGGCTACTAGGGGAGTAAGACCTGTAACTTCCAGGTTTTACTCTTTGAAAGCAAAATTAAACAGGATCCCTCTGGGTTTAGGTAAATCTGATACTGGAGAAATCATGGATCGTCTAAATCCAAATTCACCCCTTTAGATTAAATCGTACATCAGAGAATAAACACAGATCAGGTTATTGCCATATATTTTTCTAGTCAGATGACACCTTTTTAGCTTGGTTAGCTCTGGTGGCGACACGACATATGCAGCACAGGATCACGTTACATAGGTGAGTTTTTTTTTTTTAAAGGAAAGCCCACCTGGAGCATCAAAGCACATCAAATTCATTATGTCAAAAGATATGCACTGTTGCAAATGCCCAGATCGTTATTAATATGATGCGACCTGTTGCATTAAACACCCAGTTATGACAGTATTACCATCTCCGTTGCTAATGTGCAACAATATAAAGATGAACTACCTGTATAACATGCTGGTTGGCCTTTTTAATGACATACTTTTTCTGTTTTTCCAAATTAATAATAATTACATCCACCCACCCCAGATAAATTTTACTTTTTAAACTAATCCGGTGTAATCTGATCTTTAACCTAAGAATGCTTATTATTTGATCATCTAATCACTCAATAGACAGGTCTTTATAGAAAAAAAAATGGGAGGAACTGAATAGGAACTGAATGTTTTAGTTTTGGGGGCTATTCAAGGCAAGTTAAAATAAATGAAATATCTAGACCATTTAGGCTTGACTCTCCAACTTACAAAAAGCTCTCATACATTGTGTTTAAAATATTTCGGTTCCATGATGTCATGAATAATCTATTCCATGTGTAAATTAATCATAACTGAATAACCTGCTCAAATTCATCCTAATCTGATTACTATTATTTTTCCAAACATGCAGTTGCCTCTTTTTCAGTGATTTGTTTAAGCTTTAATTTGCACATAAGCAGTTTCAGTCAACTAAGGGTGCAGATGAAATGGTACACATCTACCTTTTTACTCAGTTTAAGGTTTGTTATTTTTTTTTAATACAGGAGGGTTTTTCTTACAGCGTCACTGCTGATGATCAGGCTTCTTGTGTTTATGTGCATAGACGTTTAAAACTACATACATGAATAGTTAAAAAGCTTGGCTTTGATATCATTACACTATTCATAACATTTGCTTTTAGACATGGCAAAAAAATCATATTATAAACCAAGTGTTGTAAACTATGAATTGGTTCAATTAATAAATATAGTAATGGGCAAACATACAATTTCAATTCATCATTATATAAACCCAAACAAGCCATTGATAAATCCTAAAAAAATAACAACATTAAAACACATCTGATCAAGACAGAATATGTGCATTTTTTTTTCTATTATAGCAGAGAAATATACAATAAATATGATTTTTTAAATATTTTTAGTATTATTTGGATAATATTTTCAGTTATAATTTTATACACAACAGGTCTTATGTATCATAAATGAAGGATATGAAATGAAGAAAAGTTGCATTAATTTCTATTTTTCTAGGTCGATTTTGGATATCCATTTTAGGAATCCATCTGTGAATTCAGAATATGTATTTCTGCAGAAAAGTATAAATGTCCTTACCTCCAATAAGGAAAAGCTTTCTTGCTGTAAATGAAGATGAGAGGCTGAAGTGTGGACAATGTGGTATTATCTGAGTACACTCTCCACCTAGTCTGTAGCTCTCTCCTCAAGCCTGACTGCAAATAAGGCAGATGCATAAAATACACACACATTCTCTCTCTCTTTTTCGCCAGCCTCCCTCACCTCCACTCCATCTCTTCCACACAAACATGGAAATCCAAATGTACAAGTTCAAATCTTGCTCTGAAGCTTTTGGTGATGGCTGTAGTTATAAGCGAAAATGTTATATTTTTAGTCATACTTCTGTCACACTATTGTAAATGCTTTGGTCATCCTAAAACGTAATAATTTACCACTCTGTTCTGTAATCTTTAGGGTAGTTCCCTCTATACATGGAGGCTGAAAAAGCTCCTACTGTGCAGCAGATATTTATTTTCTTTTGTTGGTTTGAGCACATCTCTCCCACATGGAGGCTTGTTTCTATAAGTGGAAACATGAAGTGCCAGGGCAAGTGCGCAAGCGACTAATAAGAGCCAGGTGACAGGCCCACTGAGTGGATCAGCCTGCCACTCATACTTTTCTTTCATGCATCTTTTATTATATATTTATTTACTATTGTTGTTGGAATGCATTTTCAAGCTTTTAATGGACTCTGGTATTCTGTGGCTGCTGTTGTACACTTTCAACATCTGACCCTAACCCAGGTGGGTTTGAGGTGCAAGTAATCAAGATGTTGTTTATGAGACATTGCTTTGTGAGGTTTTATATTAAATATGCATGCAGCCATTAAACAATCCAAGGTAAACCACCTTACACATTGTCATGTTTTTGTTAATTGACTGAAGAGTTAGGTAATGTGATTGAACCTTAAAAAAAGTATGTGCAGCAAAATGTATTTTGTGCCACAGCAATCTTTCTGTGCTGGTGATAAACAACTGGCTGAAATGGCTAAGAAGGAAGAGTGTGCTGTTTCTCTGCTTTTGTTGTTTTCCCTTCATAGCAGCAATATGTTGGAAACACAATACTAGTCAGCAGGTGCTAAAGGCCAGGCTCAGCCACAATCCATTTTTCTTGCTCAGAGACGAAGTAAACTAAGAATCCTAAAAGGAAGAGAATATCTCCCGAAAGCCACTGAAATATGATTTTCAGTTTTTATTCTCCACATGTGGCTGACAACATGCCTTAAAGCAGCCTGTGTAAGCTGTGTCTTCAGAGCAACGTCAACCTTCATCCCTACATGTGGGCACAGACAAAACAAAAAGGACTAGATTCAGCCACAGTATTAAACTCTGAGGACCCTTGGATATAAATATCTAGGTTTTTGGGTTTCTTCTGTGTCACTTTTAGTGTTTAGTTGGAGGTTCATTTTTCCATTTCATTTGATAATTCTCTTAATGCTCCAGTCTACCGCAAGGTTGTTTTTATGCTTTAAAGCTGTAGTATGATTACTTTATTCTCTATGTAAGGGAAGGTAAACTGAAACTGTTATTGTGTATATATAATGTATATATATATATGTATATATGTTTATATATATATTATTACTGTTTATATACTATTGGTTTGAATGGATTCCCACATACTGTAGCAGTTTCAAGTTTTTGATTAGGAGGCCTTTGGCCCATTTCTCCTGTTTCTTGAATATGTTGCAGGTCTCAAGCAGCCGGTTGTTCAGCTCAGATCTTTGAAGCGAGACCTGTTTTGTTAAACATTGACTCACAGTTAGAGAACATTTGAAGCTTGCATCTATAGGTTGCCACATGCCTCTCTGTATGGAGGGGATAGGAGCACCATCTGCAGGTTCTTAAATGAAAACATTCTTTCTTAAAGGCATAATAAGGAAGTAATGTTATGTTATGTGATAGAGTAAAATAAATGTCATTTGGTAGGTTTGTTCAAAAATTGTCCAAGCGGTACTATACACACATGCACACACATACATATATATATATATATATACTGTAAAAATCATTAGCTTGAAAACTGTTAAACCATTACAAACTTATATGAATAACCTTTACTTAAGTTGCTCTAATTTTTAGAGCTAAAACTGACGATTATTTTGCAAATTGATTAATCTCTTGATTATTTAGGGGACAAAAAGGAAAGTGGCGGCCTACTGGTTGGGACGTTGCACTTGGAATCCAGAGGTTCTAAGTTCAATCCCCACTCCCACAGACTGCCACTCTGGGTCCCCAAACAAAGACCCTCAACCCCACACTGATCCCCAGGCCCTGTACAATGGCAGCCCACTGCTCCTCAAGGGGATGGGTTAAATGCAGAGAGTTTATTTCATTGCTATGTACTTGTGACAGTTTAATGACCAGTGGTGTCAAAAGTACACACATTTGTTACTTAAGTAGAAGTATAGATACTGCAGTTTAAAAA